TATTAAAAGCCAACCATTACTTTAAAGTAGGGGTCTTCAACCTATCGTGCCCGAGGGCCACATCAAAAATTCAGAAAGATCTGCGTGCCACATGTCTGTCAAAAAATAGTGTAATCAGGAGATTTATATAAAATAGGAAGGTTTGTTTTGCAAGACTACAATTGATTCTAAGCAAAAAGATAGTGTTACAGATTTGTATATATATATATACATTGGTTCCAAAAAGTCAAATGGAAATCTAATTAAAATGTTTAATTAATTATGAAAAAAAAGTATGATGATCGCACAGAACAATGTTAAAAAAATGCACTTACGAAAAAAAAGGGGGGAAAAACTTTACCCTTACTGACGGGAGATGGTAGTTACTTTAGTTTCAATGTGAAATTTGACATTGTTTTTGCTTGATTAAAGCTTCAATATCAGGTTTAATCTGTGTTGCTGCAATTCGTAAAGTTTCCTCCAAATGTCTGTCTCTCAGCCGTGTTCTTGTTTTTGATTTTAGGATTTTCATTTTACTAAAAACCTGTTCACATATACACTCAAGAGCCAAAACATTATGACCAGCCCTACATTTTGCGATGAACATGCCTGGATGACGTAAGAGGCACGTGATCAGGTGGAAGTGGTATTTAACTGCTGCTGGAGAGTTTGAAGAATCATTATTTCACTTACTTCTGTGTGTGATGGGAAAGGCTGCGGATCTAAGCGACTTTGATAGAGGGCAGATTGTAATGGCTCGAAGGCTCGGAACAAGTATTTCTGAAACTGCACGACTCGTGGGTTGTTCGCGATCTACAGTTGTTAGTATGTATGAAAAGTGGATGAATGTTGGTGAAACCAGCACTAGACAACATGGTGTTGAACATCCACACGCTATCAAAGAAAAAGGTCATCAGAGACTGTCTCGCATGATGAAGCAAAACCGGAGCCAGACAGTGGCTCAGCTGACAGTCGAATACAATGCAGGGCTAAGTAGAAAGGTATAGAAGCACACTGTTGGATATGGGGCTACGCAGCAAACGTCCCACTCGTGTGCCTTTGCTGACCCAAGCGTCATCGCCAACTGCGCCTGCGCTGGGCCCGGGAACATCGCGACTGGTCCATGGATCAGTGGGAGAAAGTTGCCTGGTCAGATGAATCACGGTTTGTCATTCATCATGCCGATGGCCGTGTCAGGATATGCCGTCTTCCAGGTGAACAGTTGCTCCCTCAATGCACAGTAGGTCATATACAGGCTGGTGGTGGTGGTATAATGCTCTGGGGGACGTTCTCTTGGGCGTCTCTGGGACCCGTGGTTGTGGTAGAGCAGATCATGAATGCTACAGGGTATATGAACATCATTGCGAACCAATTGCACCCTTACATGGCCTCTGTTTTTCCAGCTGGAATGGAATGTTCCAACAAGACAACGCCCCGTGTCACAAGGCTACAATTGTGTTGGAGTAGTTTCAGGAACATGATGCTGACTTCCAGTTAATGTCCTGGCGGCCTAACTCACCGGATCTCAATCCGATAGAACACATTTGGGATGTCATGGGACGGCAGCTCAGAGGTCAAAGACCACCAATTCGCAATATCTCGGATTTACGTGACTGTTGCTACAACATCTGGTACAATCTGTCTCCAGCCATCTATGAAGGACTTGTGGGCTCAGGGCCAAGGCGAGTTGAAGCTGTGTTGCGTGCCAAAAGTTTCCCAACTCATTATTGACAGGTGGTCATAATGTTTTGGCTCTTGAGTGTATATGTACTGTCAAAGATAGAAAACATGAAGAGTGCATGTTTACAAATGCCTGGATACTTGTCTTCGGTCACGTACTTCAAATAAAAATCAATTAATGTAGGATTTTCAAAAAACTTGCATTTTACTGCAAAGTCTCACACTGTAAATCTTTCAATTCTAAGTGAAGTTCAGGTGTAACACTTCCAACATCTACTGAAAATAGCAAGAAGAAAATTCTCATAAAAATTTCATTTTCACGAAAATCAGAAAATCTGCTTTTGAATTCCTCTTTCAAACTTGAAATGCATTGTACATAATTATTTGAATTCCATGTTGTAGAGTTCTTCACACACTCCATCAATTTTGGAAAGTGAGTGGAATTCTTATTTAGCAACTGACTTTTCCACAGGGTTGTCTCAAAAGCTTTCACAAACTAATAAAATTATAAACGAGTAGATCTTTTTTCAGTAAGTGGTGGTTTAACTCATTGAGATGACCTGTAACATCGACAAGAAATGCAAAGTCTCTCAACCATTTCTCATCACTGAAATTGTGAATAGATTTCCCTTTAGATTTCCTGAATTATTGAACTGTGCTCTTCAAAGAAAACAGGCGCTGAAGGATCTTTCCTCGGCTCAACCAAAGAACTTCCACATAATACACAACATCACCATATTCAGCATCCAAATAACTCAAGAACTGTTGAAATTGCCTGTGATCAAGTTTTTAAGACCGAATGAAATTAATGACTTACAACAGCTTTCATCACATGTTCAAAGTTTGAGAAGGACTTCTTGCACAAGTTTTCTTGGTGAATGATGCAATGGAAAGTCATCATAGTATTATTTCCATTTGCCTTAACATCAGATTTGAGTATTTTTGTTACTTCTATTTTCTCTCCAGTCATAGATTTGGCACCATTCGTGGTTATAGCAGATATATTACTGAAGTCTAACTCGCATTTATCCAAAGTTTGTGTCAGACTCGAATACAAGTCTATTCCTCATGTTTACCTTTAAGTGCAACGACACTGGCTAATTCCTCTATAATTGAGAAGTCTCTATCAACACCATGAATAAAACTGGTTTTTGTGTAGCATCTGTTGATTTATCCATTGCTGCAGAATAAAACTCAAATGTTCTGGATTTGGATTTTAATTTACTGAATATATCTGTTGCGAGATCCTCTATGTGCCTCGCTACTGTCACACCAGACAAGTTAATATTCGATATGACTTAATGGACAAAGCACATCAGCTGCATTCTGAAGACATTCTTTTACAAATTCTCCTTCAGCAAAGGATTTTCTGTGCTTAGTAATTTTTTCTGTTATCATGTAACTAACACGAACGCTATTTTAAAATTCTTTATTCACTTGCTGAAAATTTAGTTTTGATTTTAATTCACTTGCCTTATCACTTCAAAAATGACCTTCCAATGCAGAATATAGTCAAAAGTCTTTAATCCGGACTTGTTGGGACTTTGGCGATTCTGGATTATTAGTTTTTCCGGATTATAGATCATCAGTTTAAATCTGTTAATATGGCATGCAGAAATTATAAAATTAAAAATATGAAACCCTAATTTATGAAATAAAGAGCAATTATGATCTAAAGGTATCAAAATTTAAAAAAAAAAAAAAAAAAAAGAGCTTAATATTTGTTTACTTTATTAAACATTTCTTTCAATGCGCGCATGCGTAAAGCATACATTACGCATAGTCGAAATTAGAAAATTGCAACCAGAAATCTATTTGATGTGTATTCGTGATATTTATAATGACGAGGAATTTGATTTAAATCATATCAAAGACGGAGTACATCAAGATGAAATACTACAATTAGTAAGGAATTATAAGCCGAATAAAATAAAAACATCTGCCCTGAAGATAACGATAGTGCTGACAGATCAACTTCCAGTTCATTGCGCGCCGCGACGTCCCCCCCCCGCGCAGAGCAGCGTAAAATTGATAAACAGATTTCGGAACGGTTAGATAAACAAAGGATATGCCTTTATCCATTTTTTGCAGCAATTCCACTTTTTGTTTGAAACATGCTTTTGCTTTGTAGATAGATCCTCTGGTAGCTCCAGAATCGGAAATTCTTTCTGACATAATCGAAAGTTCAAGCTTACTTTTATAAAATTGCTCTAACAGTCTGCAAAAAATAATAAGCCGGATCCAATTAGAAGATTAAGGAACAATGCGATCTGCAACATTAACTGAAATAGATAATTAGATAATTTTAGCTTAGCTTATACCGTCCGTTATACATTGCGTAAACGGACAGTATAAGCTAAGCTAAAATTATCTAATTATCTACCACTTTTCTTGAAAAAAATCTCACTTTTCCTTCAATTTTCCTTTTTTTGTTATCACGGCTTGTTATTGTGTACTCTTTCAAAGACCATAAATGCTTCTGAATTTTAGAATGTGGAATGAATGTGAGTAACCTAACTTAAAATCAACTGTAGAAAATCTGCTTATCATCGAATCAAAAAATATGTTTACGATCACCATTCCCTTTAATAACTGATTGCAACATTAGGAGAAATTTAATTCTGTTAATTTAATCCCCTTCTCCTCTATAGTAGCGGCATGCTCAAGGTCACCTTTGACAAAGTATTAACGAATGATTGACACCTGTTAGAGATACAAATCTACCCTTTTCATGAAATTGAGATTTTATGCATAGTCAAATTTTTTATTTTTAAAATTACATACAATAAAGTGAAATTTATGAAAAATTCGTCATTTTCAGAAATTTCTATCATAAGTAATATCAGGCATGTCAATAAAATGTTTTAACTATCAAGAATAAGAGGAAAAAGCTGACAAAGCAATTTTTCTTGAAATCAAAATTTCTTAAAATTCTTCAATTTTTCTTCAAATTCACTTTAAAGCATTATTTTAACTGTAAACATATAATATAAGAGTATAAAAATTAATAATATATAATGTATTTTATACATATGGGGAATATGTTTCCAATATTATATCTGTGAATGAATTGAAAATATATATCTTCAGCTCTCTCTCTATATATATATGAAGTAAAAAGAAAAATTATATGTATCTACAAGGTGTGTTTGAAAAGTTCGGCGATTGGTCTCATAATTAAAAAACCGCGCCGGTTAGGGTCTTGCACTCATGCAGACGCAGTGAGAGAAATGTCATCTAGAGCCATCTAACTAGAGCCATCTAATTTTACGACAGATAAGAGGAAGCGCACGCTATGAGCAGTTTAACACAGTCAGTGTGAGAAAGACTGTCGGTGTGACATGGAGCAACGCATAAAGTTTTGCTTCAAGTTAGGCGAAACGGCGACGGTGACACATGACATGTTAATGAAAGTTCACGGTCAGGAAGCAGTGAGTAAAAAGTATGTTTATGAGTGGTTTAAACGCTTTATAGACGGAAAGGAGGATGTCAAAGATGAGCCGCAGTCGGGGCGCCCTACAACAAGCACAACTCCAGACAATGTAGAACGAGTTCGACGGATGCATGCGGCAGATCGACGACTATCTTTAAGAATGATAGCTGGCGAATTGCAGATAAGAATAGACAGTGTGAGCACCATTGTGCACAAACATTTGCATAAACGTAAGATATGAGCCTGGTTTGTACCACACTCATTGTCAAACGAGCAAAAGCAATACCGGATGGAAACCTCTGGAGATTTTATCGACATATGTGACCAGAATCCGCAATTCTTGGAAAAAATAATTACAGGGGATAGGTCGTGGTGATATTAATACAATCCGGAAACCAAGCAGCAATCCACAGCTTGGTGTTCAACGTCATCACCCCCTCCCAAAAAAAGTCGTTTGATACAATCCAGGATCAAGATGTTGTTGATTGTCTTTTTCAACAGTAAGGGTTTGATCCATCATGAATTTGTACCTGCAGCTACAACTGTCAATGTGGAATACTACGAGGGGGTTTTGAAACGGCTGCTGCTACGCACACGCTGGATTTGGCCACATTACCGGAATGCACAGTGGAATCTGCTCTATGACAACAGCCGGCCGCACACTGCTATCCATGTAACCCAATTCCTCGACAGGCACCAGGTTCCAGTTTTGGATCACCCTCCATATTCTCCAGATCTGGCTCCCGCGGACTTCTTCCTGTTTCCCTGCCCCAAAGGAGTTCTGAAAGACCAACACTTTTCGACATTACTGAGATCCAACAACGCATGACAATTCGAGTCATACCGAAAGAAGCAATTGCAGACAGTTTCTAACAATTGTACACCCGATGTCAAAAGTGTATTGTTGCTAATGGTGAATATTTTGAAGGCCAGTAAAGCTATTTTGCTTGTTTCTCTTGTTTCCTTTTTTTTTTTTTTTTTTTTTTTTTATGGTAAAATTCACCGAACTTTTCGAACACACCTTGTATATCATTAGAAGAAACCATTCTTTTAGTAAATCTTTAAAAACACATATTTGTCAGCCACCAGTTTGTGACATCATGATCTGGTGGTTGGGTTTCTGTTTAAAAAGGTGTTGCCCCTGCTGAGAACTACTGGTACGGAGAGTAAGAGAATACAAAATAAGGAAATATTTAAATAGTTATTTAAAGTCTATAATATTAAATTTTATTTTAAAAACATTGAAATTCACCATAATATCTCAATTTATTCCTAACATTGTCAAAAGTTAGTCATACATAACGTTTAATAAAACAAAATTTGCACTACAACAGATAGTTTACATTACTGCTGAGAGTATCACTGAGGTTGTTACATAAATGTGGGTCCTGTAAACTAATTACTACATACAATTAATTTGAAATATAAATTCATTCATTACATAGTCATTGATTCATAATTTGAAATTGTTATTGCTTCTTCTAGAAGATTATGGCAATTTAATTTTTCTGTTAAGCAGCTATAGTGCACTGTGTGCCTAAATTAAGATACAACATAAATAGCAAAAATATTTAAAGAGAGCCTTTGGTTGCATTGTTATGCACAGTTTCTAATTTTAATTCAACTGTTGATAACTGCAAGTCAATAGCTTGTTGTGCTCCGATGTGGATTCTGTGCAGTTCCCCCCCCCCCCACTCATATAGGAGAAAAAACATGCTTAACACTAATATGTAGTTGAGAGAGACAGTAGTCTAATTTTGCTTAAACAAGATTTTGAATTCATCTTGCATGTAGCCGAAACTCTAGTTGTGGTTTTAAAAAGTAATTTTCAGTTTCCTGTGAGACATCAAATGTATGAGGACCTCATATTCCTCTGAGTTTAAGGTGGATAGCTTTTTGTTTACAATGAACACAATCCATTCCAAGTCTTTCAAGTACTTTCTCTTTAGTTTCTTTAATATATATATATATATATATATATATAATTTATTTCCTAAACAATATTGATTATATTATCTCCTAAGTTTAATTAAAGTAGAATTATTTTAAAAGAGTGAATTTATACTGGTAAGTTATATTTTGAAAGATGTTTTGAAGTAACTTGAAAGTAAAATGTTAATAATGTTTTAATGGGGACTGGAATTAAATCATCATGAAGAACAAAATTTCAATTCTAAAAAGGAAAAATAAAAATACAAACATGTAATCATTGTCATTGATCGGAAATTAGTTGACTTATCAAGGGGAACAAACCAACTCCCGTTCAATGAACAATAAGTAATAAAAATACGTAAATACGAAGGTGTTTCGTCTTTACTCGAGTTATAAGGTAAAGCCAAACCGGCAATTCTAGTCAAGCCAAATATTTCCGCGAATAGAAGGGATTACGAACCAATGCTGATACTCAAAGAACTTATTCTTATGAAGCATTTTAGCCAATTCAATTTGGAGTAAAAAGCAATTTCTGTAGAGAAATCCGAAAAAACTCGAGTAACCGTCCCCGACACACTCATGTTTATGCATTTGAGTTCTATATTATTTGTAAAAATTAAACATTGGAATTGTCATTATGAAATAGAATTCAAAATAAAGTTGAAATAAACATAGAAGATTACAAAAGATAAATAATGCAAACTTGTAAAAACAAACCAAAAATAATATAAAAAATATAATAAGAACAGTGAATGTACATGAAGATATAAAGGCCAGAAAAGGTATTAAGTAACTTACATTCTTTCTAGTGGGGAGTTGGCAAAGTGTTCTCTTCGTGTCATAAGTGTAGGGTGTCTGAAAATTCTTAGCATCAGTGGGGGCTTTGAATAATATCAGTCGGTAAGACTTGGGTGAAGTAATTTATGGTAGTGGGTGGGACTTGGAATTCTTGAGGGATGTATTATGTGGAGTTCTTATTTGAGTGAAACTGTCTGTTAAGATTTTTTTGAAAATACTAGTGAATGGAAATTAATTAATTTCTGGCTAATTGTCGTGTCGCAATGATTAAGAATTTAAGAAAGGAAAAAAGGAATTTTCACTGTCCAAGAGCTATTAGACAGATTAAAATCATGAAATAGGCCCATTTTTTCAGTAACAGCATAAGTCTGAAGACAATTAGCTTTTTACAATATATACAACTGAGTAATTACACTATATACAAATCCTTCAACTGATAGTCATCCAACTTATACCGCCTTCTCAGGTTTAGGAACAAATTATCATATCCCTATCAGTTAAATGATATCAGTTAAATGATTTGAGTATTTAACGCCTGCTCTTTTAAGGCAATGATTAATAAATTGAATGGGTATTAGATTATTTTTGAGAATTTTAATAAGGAGCAAAATTTTGCGTTGTAAATCTATTGTATCTGTGCATATAATTTTAATTCGTTGTATTTGATTAATTATTGTATTGTTAATTACTTTTTTGGATATGTTGGAGTTCCAATTTATTAATTTGTTAGTATTGAAATTGAAGTTTCTTGTTTTGTGAAAAAGTAAAATTTTTTTGTAGTTAATGATTTGAAGATCTAGAAAGTCTATGCTATTTTGTGAATTATTAGTTTTATTAAGTGTAAGACAATTTGGATAAATCTCGGAGTGTTCAATTTTACCAAAATTATTAATTGTAATAAGGTCATCAATATATCTGTAGGTGTGTTTGTAGTAATTTAACTCTTGTGGTTGTAAATTTATATATGTGTTGGTTGTAGATTTATATATTGTGGTTGTATATATACAGTCAAAAGTCGTTAATCCGGACTCGTCGGGACTTCGATTCCGGATTATCGATTTTTCCGGATTATAGATCATCAGTTTAAATCTCGTAAGATGGCATGCAGAAATTCTAAAATTAAAAATATGAAACCGTAATTTATGAAATAAAGAACAATTATGATCTAAAGGGTATCAAAATTTGCAAAAAGAAAAAGCTTAATATTTATTTGTTTACTTTATTAAACATTTCTTTCAATGTAAGTTGTTTAAGTTTTGCTTCGTTTCATGTGATAATACTTTCTCTTTAATTCTATTAAAAACAGACATAATTTCTTGTTCAATTACAAAGTTCCGCCGTTCAAGTCCTATAATTGCTGTGTCAAGAACACCGACTAATTTGTCAATCGAAATTTTTTTGTTTTCAATAACCTCTGTCACGTTTCTTCGCTATCGGAAGAGAATTATAATGACGAGGAACTTGTTTTAAATCATATCAAAGACGGAGCATATCGAGATGAAATACTACATTTGGTAAGGAATTATAAGCCAAATAAAATAAAAACATCTGCGCTGAAGATAAGGATAGTGCTGACAAATCAACTTCCAATTCATTACGCGCCCGCCGCCGAGCAGCGTGAAATTGATAAACAGATTTCGGATTTCAAAACATACTTTCGCTTCAGATCCTTTACATATTAACAAATATATATCGGAAATTCTATTTGATATAATCGAAAGTTTAAGCTTACCTTTATAAAATTGCTCTTACAGTCTGCAAAAAATAATAAGCCGGATGCAATTCGAAAATTAAGGAACAACGCAATCATCAACATTAACTGAAATAGATAATTAGATAATTTTAACTTATACGTCCATTATACATAAAATGCGCACACTAAAACGTATTCTGCACTTGCACACACTCATATGCGCAGTCGTAAAAGGTCTTACGCGCACGCGTGAACGCCTCTGCGCATGTGTCAACGCGGCGCATGCGCAGAAAGTTTTTAGTTTTGATGTCCGGATTATAGATCATTCCGAATTATGGGTGTCCGAATTAACGACTTTTGACTGTATATATATATATAATGATTCTTTCAAAGCTTAGATATGTGCCTGAATATTTTTCTGTATTTTTTTCTTGAAACCTGAAGTTATTTTGTAAGATGGGTGCAATCATTGCCTTCTTTTCCTTTGCACTTACTCAATATATAAATTTAAGAAACTTTGTTTTTTGCATCAAGAACTGTGATGTTTACCCTAGCAATGACAGATTCATTTCATGCCACCTTTCTACAAATTTTGACCAATACACCATTTTACATACCTGATCTTCATTATTTTAAGCCACTGCCGTTACAATGTTATGATCCATGAAAAATGCAACTACAAATGCATGCAATTTAATCAAACATGGCAACACTTTTCCTCAAGACTATTTCAATGTGAAGTGGAAGACTTATGGTGAGTTCCCATATTCTTCAGACATTAGTACACAATATCTGCTTTTAAGAGATCATGATTTTAT